TATATATATATATATATATATATATATATATATATATATATATATATGACAACGTGGTGAGAAAAGTTTCAAACTTGAATTTTAAAAATAGAATACGATGTCTTCTAGTGTAATGGTAATAATAATAATTTCTAGTTTGATAAGGAGAAATTAAAGTATTCAGGATATTTTTCAATAATAGATTTTGACAAATTCCTGAATTTCTAATTATCCATTAGTTTCCCTGAAAAACTAAAGTATGTAAGACATACCAACATGATTTTTTTTATTTATTTCGCTTGAAGTATAATAATACACCCTGCGTATATTATTCTATCAATTATTTTATAATTATATTTTAAGATATTTCGTAATATTGAAATATATTTTATAACATATGTATATATATATTTTTTATTCATTATTTGTTTATTTAAACTACATGCAACCTTTGTTCTTTAGATTCACTAGTTGAAGTATATTAATTAAGAATCACGCTGTAATAAATAAAATACATGGTGATTATACGATAATGTTCAATCACCGAGGTTATTAATAACAACCGTGAACATTGGATTTCAAAGGAGTGTTTCAATTGTGGTATTTTCTAACATGCATTGCGTCGTTGATTACATTATTAGTGTGCCGTTGATGTAACGCTGCCACTTCTCTCTCCGTCGTTCGAGTGGATTTATGCGATCGAATGAAAAAAACCGCGTGAAGTAAAAAGCAAGATGCAAATCGAGCTGATTCTCAAACGTATGCTAGTGTTAAACCCGTGTGCACGTTGAAACGTAATGAAGTCGAATTATCTGTGCAATTAAGCTACACTTCTCTCGATGGATAAATTATGTTCCTTTAAAGAATAACAGATGCAAGAGGCAGGGGAAAACGAGATCAAAGATTTGCTGTCGCGCTTGTCGAACATTATTGAAATTTACATACGATTAAACGTGAGAGATGAGTGCCGTGGTGAAAAATAATCAAGTGGTTCTATCGTTAAGACAGGACGTGTTTCGTCTTTTTTTCAAAATGTTGTGCGCCGTATTTTTTTTTATTTAAACGTCAGGCATTTAAAAAAAGAATCGACACATAATCATTTTAA